AGCACATTTCTCGCAACACATTCCTCGCTACACATTCGTCGCAACCCATCCTTCGCACACATTTCTAGCTTGTTTTGTATGTAGAATGGCCTCGCTTCGCTCAACCCTATTCCACCAGAGCTGAGCTAAGCGAGGCTAGGAAAATGAAGTGATTCTATTGGTGGATTTTTTCCTCGCACACCGCTTAGCTACCTCGCACAGCTCTGGTGGATTCTCACCCTTAAAGCTAGGGATTGCAATCCGGCCCGGTGGATCCAGTGCCTTTTTGGCCCCTGTCAGATACGGTAAAAGACGAGAAAAATTGGAAACTTGATTTAAATATTATTATTTTGACAGATCGTAGGTAATGCAAACGATGTAGCGATAGGTAATTTGACAAAAAAAATATTTAAGCTTTTAGTTAGTTCTGTCAAAGTTAACAATAGCATAAAAAATATGTATAAAATACGTGTATATACTACTAGTGCCATTAATCCGGTACGGTCCGACGGATTCGGCCAGACTTGTGGCAATCCGGTAAAATCCGGCTGGATTGAGAATCCGAGCACTGACGGCTTAGTCTTATTTTCGACAAAAATACACAAGAGTGTATAACTTTTAATAAAATCAGTGTTTCTTGTGCATTTAGTAATAATATTGAGTCCCCAATGAAGAAATCAGGAACATTTGTTTATTTTTTATCTATTATACAAAGCCCCCTGAGAATTTGTTCGGTTGATTCTTTTCTCCCTCCGTTTCAGTTAATAAGTCCGCTGGTATCGGCCATTGTTTCGACCCTTATTCAATCTGGTGTGGAGACCATTACATGATTTAGATTGCGGCGGAATGAAGACATTTTCTTCCCTTTTATTTTTTCCTTTGCTTTATGTTTAGTGAAGTGACGGGGGAGTATCGATGATCTTTCTTTTAATACGATCCGTGAAAACAGTAAAATATCAAATAGATAAAATTTAACAGTCTAATCATTACAGAACCATTCTTCGAAAGTGTACACTGAACGAAAAAGTACACAGAGCCGTAAGTTAAAGTCAAAGCCGAAAGTCAAAAGCCGTTTTCGAATCGCCTGTAAAATTGTCGAGGAGGTAAATTTGTAATATATGACGTAGTATATTTATAAAAAGACAATTAAATTTTTAAAAATGTATTAAAATTAGTAGCATGACGCACATATTAGCCGAAATTAAATTCTCGATATTCATTATCATGACATCACTACGTAGTTTTTGCTTTCATTCCCTTTCGGTCGGCCATTATTGTCTGACTTTAATAAAGCATTGATTATGGTGTAACAATAGAAAGAGGAAAATGTTTGATGAGGGTGATGCTTTATTTTAATGGTAGTGTAGTTAGTTACGTTCCGTTTTTTGTGTGTCGTCAAAATTGATTGGGATCAATGAAAGAAAATAGTAGGAATAGTATTGTTGAAATGAAAACACGTCAGACTGACGCCTTGCACGAATTTCGCGGGCAAGGCTTTTTAAAACTATCCGAATCGCTATCTCAGTTATATTTTTTGAATCAAAGCTGAACTGAAACAAATATCCTTGTCAAGAACAGGCCACAAAAAACGGCTACGTTTGACGAGGTAACCCGGAATATGTAGTTAGGGCTGACATAACGAACTATGACTTGCTGACAGGGATGCAATTTAGTTTGGCCGCACAGCTTTCTGAAATGAAAAGGTTGGATTTTTGATAAAAGACTTTATTGCTTAGAGTTGGGCTTCAGAACGTGCATTTCAGCCACAGATTTTTTTAAAACCAAGATGAATTAATTATTTTTTGAGAGAAAAGAGTTGATTGCTTGATCAGCCTTAATAGTTCTCGATTTGACATCTAATCACAGAGCACCAAAATGTCATGCGCTGCGCGAAAAAGTTTTCATTTTGTCTATGTATCTAATGATCAAATTATTACAAACTATGAGCTAATGACACAAATTAGATCTGACATTTGCTTAAAATCTAAATTTGAAATATGCCAACGGATTTGTTGGTCTATTTGGAAGTGGATAGCGATGGATAAGATAGAACGTCGAGCGAATTATGATGAAAGATGGTGAAATGAAAATGGAACAAATGCATTCTACCTACTAGGAATTGCGCACACCAGTTGACTCTCAATAAGTATACTCAAGAGCTTTGTAAATTGCAATCAAGTAAATAAAAATGTTACAAGCGTCTTTTTTATTCAAATTTTTTGAAACTTATCCGGTAAAATATTCACCGAAACCTATCCACTTCTTAATCAAATACTTTATGTAACTTCTTGCTTCTACAAGTTCCTCAGGATCACCCCGTCTATTTGAGAATAGGTCTCTGCAATGCGAAGACCTTGCTATGAGTTTTGCTGGAGCTTCATAGGAAATGTCTTCCAAAATCCCAAGTCTACTCCAAGGATCCATGTCACCGTTGACAAAAACTACCTGAGACACATCAGGGTTAAGACCGCCATACAATTTGTTTGTTTCTTCAATGCTTCTATCAATACTTTCTTCATCAAAATCCGGGCCAAACATTCCTGTACACATCTTGTAGTATATTTCCGGTGGTATATTCCTTGTGAAGGGTTGGTTATCAGAGTTAGTTGATTGGTAATAGCCAAATTCCGTACAAGTCTGGTAAATCCACGATATGACCCAGTCAATTTCCTTCATTTCATCTATCATGTTGTAAAAATCATAGTCATAGCAATCACTTTCATCTCTCCAGAAATTTGGTTCATCATCATAAGTGACTCTCGGAGTAGCTATGCGAGTTGAGTTCATGATTCTTGAACAGTGTTTCTGTATATGGGCTGGGCTTCCATACTGAGCACGAACCATGAACTCAGATACTTTATCCATGAAAAAGAGTTGTTTATTCTCAATCTTAGTCATATCAGTATCTTCACAGATTCTTTCTTCTGATTTCAGTTGTTTGATACCCTTCTTACTTTTGAATAAACTATCATATCTCTGAAAGATTTGGCGTATTTTATCATGACAACCATCTTGCCCATGTTGTTCGTAATCATCTGATACTGTCTCTATGTATTCGAAGAAGTCTTTCTTAGCCAAAACTGGTGCGCTGCTTGCAATAGCGGCATCAACCATGTCTGGGTATAATAGTTTCATCCAGGCGGCCAAGTTACCTGGATATGATCCACCAATCACGACCACTTTAGATGCCGTTGATTTTTCAAACTTAGGAGAAGATCTTATTGTTTTTATTAAAAAGGCTAGATCAGCTAAAGCTTGGCGTGAACTCAAGTATCTCAAATTTTCTGTCACTGTATTTTCCAAAGGCATACTCTTTCCGTAATATCTGTGTTCTGATCCAAACATTGCACCATTAGTTTCGTTAGCCAACTCGTACAAGACTCCAAGAGTTAGAAAATATGGACTCGCTTCACCTTCGCCTCCAATGAACAAGTAGATAGTTCCGTTAGGTTTCCAAAATTCCAAGTTTTCAAAATATCGCATCTTCCACGTTCGATTCTCTTTTATATCAAAGTGATCTAATGGCTGTTCTATCCATTTAGTTCCAACTGATGAGGAATCAAAAGTCGCTGCGTCGCTTGCCATCAACTGCTTTGTTAGATATCGGTAACCATTTCCGAACCCATAAAATCTAAATCCCACGACACTTGCAGCACATAACAACAATAAAACAAACACCGACTTGCACATGGTTTGTCTTAATATGTATCGCCTCAACTGATTCTATGTCAGACTGTGCATGGTCTACTGTTCAATGCCCTATATAAGGTTCAAAAATGACGTTCACCTATTGACGTGCTATCTACGTGTTAAATGTTATCTATGAATAACTGAGACCCATGCTGGTAGCAACGATAACTCTTAACCGCTAGAGATCCAGGTATGTTTAGAATTTTCAGGGCAACTGATAAGCATGGAATTTCTCTTTGATGTATTGGTAAAATATTAGACTGACAACTTATTAAATATTCATGGACTGCGATAGCAATTCGTAACTATTCAATACTAAGTAGTAATGTAAGTTCATCACGTACAGTTTTTGCTTTCACTCCTATCTATCTGGCTGGGTATTATTGTCTGACTTGAATAAAGGATTGATTCTGGTGTAACAATAGAAAGAGAAAATGGTTGGAAAGGATGTTGCTTCATTTTAGGAGTCGTGCGTTTTTTTTTCATTGATTATATTTTAATCTATGTTAAATCTGTTGCATTTGCCACCATAGAACGTGTAGCATTAAACGAAACCTCAAACTTAAGTCTATAGCAACGAAAAAACTATTCCAGTTACCTATATCTTGGTATTTATCGGTTGCCAAGATATAACTGTAGCCATCGACGGACAGGAATTGTAGTAAAATCATTTCCACTCAGCATCTAGCATTAGAAAATTCTATTTTTACATCAAAACTGAAGCAAAATATTCTTTTCAAATGCCAAAAGCACTGCAGCAAAAAAAACTCATCTACGTTTGACGAGGTAGCCCGGAATATGTAGTTAGGACTTGCATAACGAACTATGACTTGCTGACAGGGATGCAATTTAACTCGGCCGCACAGCTTTGAAATAAAAAGTAGGATTTTTGATAGAAGACTTTATTGCTTGGGTTCGGGGAATATTCTGAGCTAAAATTTCAAGATTTTCTCAATAAATTGCAAAGCAAATTCTAATACTCTCTGTTGCAATTAAATTTATTGTTAGGTAAACTCACAGTTTTATCTGTTTCAATAACTTTCTAGTGAAGAATGATCCAGGCTCCTGCATAGCCAACTAATACCCGAGCAATATTTTATTCCCGTCAATATTTTACTTGATCAAGCTTGTTAAATGTCTTCTACAACATTTACTGACACAGGCTTTCATAACATAAGGTAATAGAGTAAACAAAAATATTTTATATTTCATCAAATCAGACTCCTAGAAACAGTTATTGTAATAAGAAAGTGGAGTGGCATAAACCAACCATCCAATTAAAATAGTTGAAGATACGCCCGGCGAATACTTACGGGATTGGAAGTCTAGGCGATTCACTGTGGCACGGTGGTAGTGCGACTGGCTGCGACGCAGAGAGTTCTGGGTTCGATTCCCGGTGGGTCACTTCAAAATGTTGATATTTATCAGTTATCACTTAGTGAAGTTTTCCCCATTCTGGTGCGGACGTAAATTGCAGGCTGAACCATCTGATTGTCCAAAAGCAAGATAGTTCGGTGCTTAGGGAGGCACGTTAAGCCGTCTTTGTCCCGGTTGCTGTCTATGTTTACATAGACGGCGGTCGTTTGTTAAAACAGGGCTGCTAATTGAAGAAGGCGGTTGAAAAACTCTGGGACCAGGGGTCTCCAGGTCATTGGACGACTCGGCGTCACACTCAAGTAGGAGAAAGAAGACCGCACAGCCTTTCACAACAAAAGGTAAAAACATAAACAAAAACATTTCACATTTTATTACACAGTTATTGTAATAAGAAAGTGGAGTGGCATCAACCAACCATCCAATTAAAATAGTTGAAGATGCGCCCGCTGAGTACTTACGGGATTGGAAGTGTACGCGATTTACTGTGGCGCGGTGGTAGTGCTACTGCCTGCGACGCAGAAGGTTCTAGGTTCGATTCCCGGTGGTGGGTCACTTCAAAAAGATGATATTTATCACAGTCTATGATGGCGGTCGTTACACAACCATGTCAGAGGCCTGCTACTTGCAGTAGGCAGTTGAAAAACTCTGACACCAGTGTTGGACGACTCGGTGTCCCACACGAAGAGAGAGATAGCAGGCTGCAGGCTGAACCATCTATCTTATTGTCTGAAAGAATGATAGTCCGTGCTTCGGAAGGCACGTTAAGCCGTCTCGGTCCCGGTTGCTGTCTATGTTTACATAGACGGCGCTCGGTCGTTATACAACCATAAAACAGGGCAGCTACTTGAAGAAGGCGGTTGCAAAACTCTGAGACCAGAGGTCATCAGGTCGTTGGACGACTCCGTAAAAAGACCGACACGACCTTTTATAACAAAACTTAAAAGAAATAAACAAAACCATTTCACATTCTATTGCTAGAAACAGTTATTGTAATAAGAAAGTGGAGTGGCATCAACCAACCATCCAATTAAAATAGTTGAAGATGCACCGAGTACTTACGGGATTGGAAGTCTGGCCAATTCAATGCAACTTCTCAACTTCAGCTAGAATTGTTTCTTAAGTATTTGTACCAACTCAGGCGGTCATTTAGGGAATTAACTCTTAGGCTGCTTTCACACATGGCGTCGTTGTAATTTTTTTATGAACCTAAGAATATTATATACCTAATAGTATAAAATAAGCTGTAGAGTGCGGGTTGGTGTGAACGAAAGGGTCCATCAACAATACTATACTAACTTCTTATATTTTTCCTACATTTGAAGTATCTCTATAGAACTTTGCGTTTACGCAGAACACAGCGGCCTGGAGCCATAAAGCACTCTACGATCTACCTAGCATTGTTGAATTTCTTAATCCATTATATTTTTCCAACTTGCGCTTCACAAAGAAATGCATTGTACCAATGGCCTATGTACAAATTATTAAGTAGTGGACTAATTTCATAGTAGTACCTTGCCTTTTTGTGCCATTAGCCAAGCCATGTCTTAAAATTCCTTAGTCTGCAAATACCGGGATATTTCTCAATCTTATTATAATCTGAGCCACGAACTGCATCTTTCATATTCCCACAGAGTTCGAAAATTAAATAAATCCTCGCTACGTCCATGCTGCCAGGTTTGTCTGCCTACTTTGAATAATTTGAAAAGCGAATAGACGTTGACTGAGGCACTGGCCGCTAAGAACATACATGTATTATTCGAAGAACTAAGATCGAAATAGGTAGTTTCTATGGGGAACCACAATGCACGACATACTCAATGCACAGCAGGTTAAGGCACGGCAGCGTATTGTACAGCAGATCATTGTACGACATGATGGATGGATGGTCTTGAAATACGGGCCCGGACCGATAATGTACAGGGGTGGAAATGGAATCAAAACAAATGACGTCACAGCGGATGTAGTGATGTGACAGTGTTATTGACTTTGATCGACTTATCGATTAATTATTCGAACATGACATGCAAGGCAACCCACAGAGGGGGGACGGGGGGGCGAAGCCCCCCCACAAGGGGGGGTTTGGGGGGCGTAGCCCCCCGCAGTAAAAAAACACATTCAACGCAAATCCGACACAGTAGGTTAGGTTAGGTTAGGTTAGAACAGTGACCCCCTGGAGCAAACGAAGTGAGCGACCAAGCTTACTTTAGAACATATTTCATATAAAAACAATATCGATTAAGCTAGAAATGCATATAATATTATCGATCTAGTCACATCACTATTGTACCACAACACGTGATGTCTCCAACCATCATGTCGTGCAATCCTCGACTTGCACCGTGCACTTTCGGTACGGGGTGATGGATGGCGACATTGTTTTGATTCCATTCACCATGTCGTGCTGCATCACGTCGTACATTACTCTGACGGCCAGTATTATGGTGTACAATACTATGTTGTACAATGTAGGGACTCGTTTCCATAATTTATTGAAAGTACATGTGGATTAATTTTTTGGAATAACGTATAAAGTAAACTTACACCGCAGACTTGAATTTTAAATCTTCATTTGAAAGTATAGTGCCTTATCATCATAGTAAATTAAAATAAAACAAAAAAAGTTTGCATGGATCTCGTTTAGACCAAGCCGACCTCTTTGCTCGTCGCAATTTCGAAAATTCAGACCGTTCTTTAGATAGTGGTTAAAACCCAAAGCCCTGGATTTTTATTCAATTAGAATTTGAGCTCGCAGTCTTTTATATCCCAACGAGGTCTCTGTAATGAGATCAATCCCTGGTTACGTTCAGACTGAATTTACGGTCTGTAAAAGTAATAAATTATAGGTATATAACTTTTCGAGAAATTATACTTTGGATATAATTTTATGAGCAGAAATAAAGATCTGTGCTGTCGCCATTTAAGGAACCAACTTTATACTGGTTTATCATAAGATACAAATAAAAAAAAAAACAGTAGGTACCTATAAGTGAATCCCTTAAAAAAATAGTAAATTCATCATTTGTTGGCGATCACTTTTGAACATGGAATTTGTGATCGATGAACAAAACTCGAATACAAAATACGAATTCGTCGTGTGCCAGGTTTAAACACAGCAGTTTTTTTCAAGTGATCGATCAGGCTCTCACTCATGCACGATTTGACGTTAAATGTACTCAGATCGAGAGAGTCCTTAGAGGGAACCCTACGAACAACACAAATGAACAATTGCCTGGTTTTTTTTAGAGTTGGCGGTCGATACTCTAAAAACACGAAACACAAAACTCTTGTTTCGTTACTATGAAAGATAAGATTACATTCATTTATTTCATAGTATTGATTTTAAAAATTCGGTTACTTGTAAAATTACTTAAAATTAGATAAAAAAATATGTATTTAAAAAGTAGGTAATTATAAAAATATCAAAATAAAATAATAACAAAACAATAACAATTCATTATTTATTTTATAACAGAAATCATTGCATCAATACAATATCAATGACATTTAGCACCTAATAAAATATATCAAATAAAAAATACAGAACAAAACCTAAATTATGATGTCATATGTACAATTAAAGATTAACGTTGATTTAAAAAAAAATGCATTATAAAATAATATTGTCGTATAAATATAGGAGTTTACTTTCAAATGTTTGTGTACTAAATTTTTAATTTTTGTGCAATTAATTGTGTAGCTAGTGACTCAACGGGCGATCCTATTGAGTTGAAATTTCCACGGCTTCACTTCGGTTGCTTGTCAGAATCCCTGTGAGTCATTTGTTGCGGTTTGAAGTGATCGATCAGCCCAAATAATGCAAGAATTGACATCTAATGTATCACAAAACTGTGTGCAAATTCACATCAATCAGATCTGGCATTTTGTAAGGCTTTATACGGCATTTTGGCAATGTAGTAGGTTACATTTGTTCGAAATTTGAAATAGCTAATGGATTTATTGGCCTATTTGATAACGAATTGTGATGGACAATCAGCTAAAATGACATCGGGCGTATCAGAGGCTAAATAGACAGGCGAGACGTGAGACCTGCGAAATCGCGACGCTTGAAAGCGTTTCCATATAAAATGTATGAAAACAGAAGGGACGCCGTCTGAACACGTGAGATGCGCGTGTCGTATCGATGACGGCTGAGAATTACTTTTCTGAAAATATCATCTTATGTCTTGTGCTTGCGGCGCACGTCTCATCTGTGAAGATTTCTGTAGTCGAAATTGAAGATTGAATTCTACTGAGCAATATTTACAAAAGTTTTAAATGAGAACACTGAAATCTTGTAGGGCTTAGTGAACTTGAAATCAAATTTATAGAGGTAGAAAAAGTGTTGTTAGTTAAAAATAATTTAGAGGTTCAAACCTATACAGTTACTTATCAATATGCTCATGATGTTCAACACCGATCCATTCCTTTATCATATACTTAACAAAAACCTTTATTTTTTCTAGTTCTTCTGGATCACCTATTCGGTACGAGAATAGATCTCGGCAATGGTTAATATTTTTTATAACTCTTGCTGGGGCATCATGAGAAATGTCTTGTATAATCCCAAGTCTACTCCAAGGATCCATGGCACCGTTAACAAAAACTACCTTAGATACAACAGGATGTACCCCACCATAAAAGCTGTTCGTTTCTTCAATGCCTTTATCAATATTTTCTTCATCAAAGTCAGGACCAAAAATTTCTGCGCACATCTTGTAGTATATTTCTAGCGGTATATTCTTAGTGAAAGGATGATCATCAGAATTAGTAGATTGGAAAAAGCCGAATTCTGTACAAGTCTGGTAAAGCCACGACATGAGCCAGTCAATGTCTCTCATTTTATCTATCATGCCGTAGTAATCATAGTCAAAGCAGGCAGTTTCATTTCTCCAGAAACCTGGTTCATTGTCTTCAGCAACTCTCGGAGAAGCTACGCGAGATGAGTTGATAATCATTGAACAGTGTGAATGTATGTGGGCTAGGCTTCCATATTGAGCACGAATCATAAACTCAGATACTTTGTCCAT